TGTCATGGGTGACATTTTGATATAATGCAAGCGTGAAACTCAGTTGGTGGGGAGATGCATCATTTACCGTCCCAGTTAAAGTACTATCCGAATCAAAAGTGCACAATTCTGTAAATCGATGCTGTTTTTCTCCTGTCTCACGGCTTTTAAGTTCCGTTGTTCATACCCTAATACACAAGTACGCAAGTACCAATGTTAAATTTTCATAATACATGGGTTTGCACCTACAATTCCCTTTGCACATAGGTTATCACATTTGAAACAACCAGAAATATCTGAATATCCAATATATATATATATATATATATATATATATATATATATATATATATATATATATATATATATATATATATATATACATATATATGTATGTATATATATATATATATATATATATCACATATGCATAACAATATATATGCGAATAACAGTCTCATTAAAAAAATATCCGATTATCATCGGGCTACATGTAAAAAGCCACTTATCGGTGGACATGGGTGCACCCAGATGGGTCAACTGCCGCTGGACATGGCCAACATTAGACCCTGGTGGGGTCCCAAGCGACTCATGGAACGTCGTTGGCCCATGCTCAAAATGCCTCTTAATGTGAAAATGCAGGTAAAAATGACTGGATCACTGAGCTTCATCACTAACCTGTACAATTCGCTTTTGGTCCAACCTCGCATACAGGGCGGACACAGCATCACCACCAGGCGTTCTCTTTTTGAGAGAGCAGCTGAACCTTTAAGCGTCTACATAGATAATGATTTGACGGCAACCTGCATACTGCATAGAATAAAAATGACCTGCATGATGCATAGGGTAAAAAATGGTCATTTGTTCAACAAGGGAATGTGCTTGTCAGAATGTCGCTGTCGCCAAAACCCGCAAAGCGCGATTCGGTATATATGGCATATATGGCAACTAGTGTGCATATATGGCATATATGCACACTAACCTGTGTGCATATATGGCAACTAGTGGTGCGAGTCATCCCAGGACCTTGGTGCCAGCGACACCGCATGGTTATCGGGCTCCAGCCGGTATGGTGCCGCCTCCGGGCTCAGTGCGCCGCGTTTAGTCGTGTCTCATCGTGTCGCGCCGCGCGGCGCCGCATGAAAAACGCACCGTGCAGGGTGGCACCGACATTTATAGAGGTGAAAACTTTTGCGAAGACTTGCTTAATACGTGGTGTTCCACTAAAACTCCACTAAAACTTCGGAAAAGCCCACATAGATACCAGCATTATATGTGGCTCCAGCCCTAAGGCACGCACTTTATCGCAGAATAAATTGCGAGTTAGAAAACCTAAATACACTTCAGATCTCCTAAGCGGGCTCAACCTTCTACCAACGACTGAACGAAACAAACTGGGGCGCAAACAAAACAACTGGTACCGAAGCCTTGAAACTCTTGGCCAATGGTGGCCACGTGGCGTAGTAAAAATGGGGTGTTTTCACAACGCCTCCCGAAACGTCCGGCCGAGTGGACTGGGGACATCTGGGCCAGGGGATGATCCGGGCGGCGACACACGTGCCGGTCACCGGGCTAATTAGTGGCGTCACCGCGGCCACTTTCACCGCGCGATCGGGTCCGAACGAGGGGCCGCGCGCCGGCCAGCTGCGGGGCACACGGGGCCGGTCCTGCGGAGAAAGGACCCAGCCGACTCCCTAGCGGCGGGGCTGAAACTGGTCCCCGACCCCGGCCTCGCCGAGAGGCGGCATGTTGCACTCGTGAGGTCCCTCCTGTGCCGCCCTCCCGCACAGGTGTCGCCACGGCGGCGGGGGCGGCAGCAGCCGGCCAGTACGTCAGTAGCCTCCACACGAATCCCACCAAATCGGGAGAGTTTCTCAAAATCCAAGAAGAATGGGGATAGCTTGGTACGGCGGCGTTGGAGGGGGCGGATCCACACATTTCCTTGTCCTCCCTCGCTCGCCCTATGTTTCTCGTCTCGCAAAAATCGCCAGGGGTGCCACTGTCCTCCGAGCATAGCTCTTGTAATGGAAACGACCGCATTACCGATGCATTCGTTTGTAATGAGCCAGCACATGGTGTTGCGCAGGGATGAAACCATTCATCCTGACAATGTCACTGACTTGAGGGCTTGGGGTGGCGAGCGATCTCAACTCCAGTCATCACTGGAGTTCTTTCCGCATCCACTCTTTCACGAGACTTGGTTGACGCACGCCCCCCCCCCCGAAAAAACCTTACTCGACGAGTGACCGGTACTGGGAGCATGGGTGTCTGTGGGATCTAGGACCTCCGTGGGGTCAGTTTTAGGCATGTTGGGCTATTCGGGTTTTGATCACACAAAACAGCGTAGACACAAACTGGACGTCGGTCCGATGTTGTTTGGCTACACCCCAGCCGAGTGTGTAATCACCACCGGTCGGAACGCGGTGCCGACGCACGCCGCCCTGCAACGCAATAAGGGTAGCTGGCCGGAGTTCTGGGTCAGACCGCGGTACACGTGCTGGCAGACAGAGGGAGGTACCAGTGAACTTGGGCACGGACCACCAGGCAGCGACGGCAGCGTTCTATAACGCGGCCGGCCTAGACGCGCTCCTGGGCATCAAGCTGATCGGCATACTACAGATCAGTGTCATCATATCACATAACACCATATCATATCACATCACGTCTTATCGTATCACGTGATATCCCAGGCTCAGGCCTGTCAGCCTGGGGCTGGCAGGAGTCCCTGCGCCCACCGTCAGAGAAGCCTCTGGTGACGACGGCCCGCGGTCCCACCCCACCACTGACGTCTGAGAGACCTCTGGGCCACGCGACAACGTCGTCCAATGCGTGCCATTGCAGCCACTGCAAATCACATGACGTCTGAGTCTGTGATGAAAGCGAGGATTCCGCATGACCACGTGGATACCCTGGACTCAGGGACTCCACCGCATTCAAAGGATGCCTAGCCGAGAATAAGTCACAGGCTGGCATATCAGTGTACATCCTGCATACGGGCGAACTGCATCCTTGAATGTAGCGCCTCCAGCAAAGCACTCACGCCGCTGGCCGTGAAAGTGTCCTGCAACTTGTAAATTTATAATAGCACGATTTGGGAAGGATGGAGATATCAAGAGTCAATCCAGACATCTGACTTACTGGAACGCGGAACGAAGACAAAAAAAAAACAGATGCACAAGAAGACAGCATGCCTTATAGCAATACCAGATGATCCTGTGTGCATATTCAGTGATCCTATACACCGTATGACATTCCAAAGGGGAAAGGATAGCTCACAGACATGCCAGAAGGTCATATTCTGTACATCCATTAGCATTCGAACTGTGGCGTTTACACTGTCACTCGCGGTAACCCAAGCAAAACTGTAATAGAAGGATTTTAAAACCACCAGCAGGTGATCTGACGGATAAATGTCCACTCAAACCCCTGATGATGGACACTGATGCTGCGTGACGCCCTCCACTCAAACCCCTGACGATGGACACTGATACTGCGTGGTGCCCTCCACTCAAACCCCTGACGATGGACACTGATGCTGCGTGATGCCCTCCACTCAAATCCCTGACGATGGACACTGATGCTGCGTGATGCCCTCCACTCAAATCCCTGACGATGGACACTGATGCTGCGTGATGCTGTCCGCTCGGACCGCTGATGCTGCGTGATGCCCTCCACTCAAACCCCTGACGATAGGACACTGATGCTGCGTGATGCCCTCCACTCAAACCCCTGACGATGGACACTGATGCTGCGTGGTGCCCTCCACTCAAACCCATGACGATGGACCATGATGTTGCGTGGTGCCCTCCACTCAAACCCCTGACGATGGACACTGATACTGCGTGATGCTGTCCGCTCGGACCGCTGATGCTGCGTGATGCGAAGACATCAAGTCAAGGACAAATGCCGAATCAGTCGAGTGCATACCGTTCTGACACTGCAGAGCCTTTCTTCTCCTGCTTTGGCGACATCCCCAATATGCCTGAAAATAGCACGATACGCTTTCCGCAGTTTAGCAAGAAAACTACCTTGCAACCGGTATCAAGTCCTGCAATAAAAATTCCGGCGTTCTGCCGACCTTTTGGCGACTAGAACTATGGCAATGACCAGTGGCGACGCCACCGTAACCAACGGTTGGGTTTTAATGCATCCGCAAAATCCAGGATCGCGATGTTCCGTCTACCCCGGATGGGCATGATAAACTCCGGGAAATGCATGTGTACACAACAAAAGGCATCGCCAGTGAAGAGCTCAACGCTTGCGGAAACATCTGATCCCTATGTGGCCGGGCTAATGCCACTTAGTTGGCAATTATACCTGCCAACTCTTACAAGCAAGAGGCCAGCCAGCCCGCAGAGCATCACCATGGCGCTGACATCTGTCACAGCCGGATGAGCATGAGGACCGCGGTGTGTGGGCAGCACTACCATCTACCGGTGGCGCGGGGCACTGCAAATTGAGACACTGACCGCACGACAGGTAATGAGGTGACTCACAAGCTGGCGGGACTGGACTTCAGGGCTGGATTGTGGGTTCATACATGCGAAATGAAGAGCACTGAGTCATCTTCGTCCTTTTAATATACGTGGGACGTACGCCCGACGACAAGGCGTTAGGAAATATCCATGCACCACGCCGTTATTTGGGGCTGTCGGTACAACGTCGCCCAGCAGATGACAGCAGGGAACAGGGGCCGACGCCCACCACGACTTGTGAACGCGTTTGACTCTGTGCGACAACAGGCTGTCCAGCAGACTGCAAACCCAAGAAAAGGAGGACACGCGTATTCGCTGGACCAAGGCATTCCTAATCAGCCAGAAACAGAGTGGCGACAGCGCGTGGCTCGTTATATCAGACTCAGGTCGTACACGGCCTTCCTCAGGGACCTGTCCTGCAGCCGGCTCCGCTGCTGACATACGTCAACGATATGCTTCATCACGTGCAAGCCTCCATGATGCTTTTCAACGATAACATCAGGCCCTGCTGCTAAGCGGCGACACTGCCTCAGTGACCCGGACGTCCTGACAGTGCTGTCAGCCCGACAGCACTGCTGCGCCCCCCCCCCCCCCCTGCATCAAATGCTGCCACACTTGTTGAAGTGAACCAGTATCACAGCAGGGTCCGACCAAAAATATTCTGGCCTCAAATTTTTGTCAGAGAGGACAGCTTAGGCTCGAATTATGCAGCAGCCCAACAAAAACAACATGCTTAAAGGCTGGAAAAGGTGTGGGCTGTTTGCCAGAATTACAATATCGATGTTTCTGATACTTTTGAAAAGGCTGATTGTGCCATACCTGCAGCATGGCCACACTGCGGGAAAATACGGCTGCTTTCGGTCAACAGTTTTATGGTGGAATGACAATGTCAGCTGAGGACTTCCTCATGGAAACCACTGGCCATGCAGGAGGGTCACTGAAGCAAGATCATAAGCTGAGGATGATCAAAGCCAGTGGTTGCAGACCTTTCGTCACAAGACTAAGGGATAGACTATCACACACTAGGCACTTGACAAGACCAATGGATGACTGATGCTGACAGTGGTGAATATTGGTGGATATGGTACATATATAAGGGCAGGGAAAGCACCCTTGTATCTGAAAACATTATTACTTATTGATAAGATTGAGATTGTTGGTTAAGAGTATTATTGATGCTTACTGTGCACCCAGATGCTCCACGCACATCAAGATTCATCTACAAAATTGTTAATGTCAGTACCGTGAATAGCGGCATGGATACAACTGTCATGCTCTGCACATGCAGAGTCCAGCTCACTGACCAGAACCCTGCACACCTTTCTGATGAACTTCTCATGCACCAGACCCCAGCTCCAGGCAGTCAATACATGGAGCACATCTCAGTCAAATGTGGTGAACATGTAGTTAAGACAAGCATTATCTTCAGCCAGGCATTTGGCCCAGTACTGTGTAAATGCCCAATGTATGGTCCACCAGCCCACAAAATTACAGGCAGTGTGCTTCACTGGGACCAGGTGATTCTGCCTGGCCAAAAGCAGGGAGCTAGAGATGTGGGGATGCAAGTTGAGCTGGGCCCACACCACTAGTGGGGCTCCTCCCAGATCTGGTCTGGTGTCCAAGCTCACACCACTAGTGGGGCTCCTCCCAGATCTGGTCTGGTGTCCAAGCTGTTCTCAGTGTTTTGAGGATGCCCTTCACCTGGGCTCACACCACTAGAGGGGCTACTCCCAGATCTGGTCTGGTGTCCAAGCTGTTCTCGGTGTTCTGAGGATGCCCTTCACCACATTAAATGTTGGGGAAATCTTTTTGGTCTCTGACTGTCATTTGGCTACAGTTTACAAAACATGCTTTAACATCCTGTGCTCCCAAGGGACCTGAGTGCCCTGAACACACATGTGCCTGATTCCAGGTGAAGGTGGAGTGAACTCCAGAACATTAACAAGTGCTCGGGTGGGGGAGTCAACTTGACCCCCCCCCCCAAAGGTTTTTCCAGAAAGGTTTCCAAATGGCACAGCACAGCAATGCCAAATTTTGCACAACCATAGATAATTGAATAGTGGATTGTTCGGTGAAAAAATTAGATGCACTTTGTAAGGTTGCTGAACTGTGGCAGGTCCAAGTCAGGCCTAGATTTCAGCAAAGTCAGTTTCTGTTTGACTGTTGTTTGACCACTCTGAAGGCACTGTTCAGTCTGATACAACAATGGAGAGTTACATGAAGCCATACATCTCTGAAATGCTTTCTTAGACAACACAACAAATGAATGAACAAATTGCATTGATGTACAACCAGGTATAAAGGTCAGACCAAGGCCAAAAACAACCTGTTTTATTGCTCTAGAGCTTGCTGTATGGCATAGCTTATGGTGCCCATTTTGAATTTATTGATAGCAGGAATCACATTCTACATCTTCCATGGACTTCTTAGAGGTCAGAATAGGTCATTGAACTAAGATCACCCAATGCAAAATTCAAAGCAGAATTCATGCAATATTCAAATGCAAAATTCAGAGCAGTCTTACATGATTTTGGTTACCATGACTTTCAGAATGTCACACAAGATCACTAACCTTAGATAAGCATGTGACCTTTTACTTAGAAACATTTATCTAGGCTCGGTGGGCACTTTGGAGACCAGCCTAGAATTTGACCTTGTTTGACCTTAAGTCAACAGTCCATGTAGTGAGTCCATGCACAGGTCAACATAACCTGTGAATTTAGTGGCTCTAGCTCTCATATTTATCTAGATCTCAGGGGGGGGTGTCAAATTTACCCCCCAAACTGAGCAAAGGGTATCCAGCCAGCCAACCAGGAGCATGTTAAAGAAATGTACCGGGTCTAGCTGGATCAAGGAGTTGAATCACTTTTTAAATCTGAGCAAACCACATTACCTGAAACTATCAGTGAAATTAAACACTCTTCTTCTTACAGTTCTTGCAAATCCATAAAAGATATCATTACATGCTATATACATCACATTAAGGCATGCTCCTCGCTTTCAACACTGCCTCACATAACAATTGTTTCAGATCATGACACTTGAGGCTCACATTTTTAGCATAACCTTATCATAACAGAGCTAACAGCAGAGTATCATAGCATGACATTCAGCTCAGGTTCTCAGAGTAGTTTGGGGTGGATGTGACAAAGGCAGCAAAGATTTTCACTGCTTTGTGGAGACTATCTGCTTAGAAACTTTCTATCTCCTATCTTCTACATGCTGGCTATGCCATTCCTTGACCAAGGAAACATTGACACTATTCCAGCAGTCAGGTAAAAATGTCTGGAAAGAGAACATAATGTAGCAGTGTAATGGTCAGGAGTGGTCTTTAAATGGTCTTTTAAACTGGGCACCATGACCTGCTCATATTCAGGCCTACGCAACTGTCCCAGTCACCTAAGGCTTTCAGGCGACAAGCACCCTTGATATTGGTCTCAATATTGGTGGGTGCCAATGAAGCAGCTATGTATATTTATATATACATGTGTACAAATGTACACAAACACAAGCACACACATGTGTATATTGCTGGAAAGTTCAATGAGTTTGGTGGGTGCAAAACTCCAAAGCTATTTGCGTATCCACACGGAAAGCAACTGCGAAATAATACGTCTGAGTAAGCATGGACGGACATACCTTTTTATGACCTAGACCAGTGTATCCAAGACTGGCCGGTAATTTTTTACTTGGGTACCTGTATGGCCGACGGAGGGAAGAGCTACGCTAGCTGCAGGGTTTCGAGTATTGTCGTGCGGGGCAGAAGCTGTGAGGCATCAGCTAACATTGTGACGTCACTGAAAATGGTTTTGCATCGATCGGGATCGGGGTTCTTTCGGGCCGGCTGAAGACCATAAGGCTTTTGCTTGTGATATGGTGTCACTGGTATTCGGCTGGGTATGTGACGTCACTGGTCGTGAGTGTGTAAGGCTCTTTTGGGTCCACTGAATGCCGTAATGCAACAGCTGGCCATGTGTCGTCACTGGTATTCGATTGAACATCAGGCGCGGCCGGCCTCGTTCCATCTTTACTTTTCGTACCTGTCTGCTGCAAGCATTTGCGTGCCGCATAAAGGTTTGACCGAATTACCCCAATGTGTGACGTCCCTAATCATCACTTCATACGAGTGCACCTAGGCCTCACGACCACGGTGTGTCGTGGTCCGCGAAGTATCACCGGATAGCGTGACGTCACTGGTATTCGAATAAAAACTGGGCGCAACAGGCCGTGCCTCATTTTTACCTTTGTACTTGTCTACTGCAAGCATTGGCGTGCTGGATGAAAGCTGCCGAACCACCTGAGTGTGTGACATCACTGGCCATGAGTTCCAACGGTGCTTTTCGGCCAACTGAAGACCACAAGGTGTCAGCTAACGACGTCACTGCTATACGACTGTAAGACGTCAATGGCCGTGGGTTTCCACGGGCCCTATAGGACCGACGAAATGCCGTTAGGCATCAGCTGGCGATATGACGTCACTGGTATTTGACTGAACATCAGGCAACAGGTCATGCTCCATTTATACCTTTCGTACATGTCTGCTGCAAGTATTGGCGGATTTTTTGTGCGGCCAACTGAAGACCATAAAGCATCAGCTAACGACGTGACGTCGCTGGCACTCGACTGTGCGTGTCGCTGGTCATGAGGTTTTACGGCCTCTTTTGGGGCGACGAAAGGTCATACGGCAATGACTGAAGATGTGACGTCACTGGTATTCGAATCAACTTCGGGCGCGACAGACCATGTTCCACCTTTATCTTTGGTACCTGTCCATTGCAAGCATTGCCGTGGAAGGCTCTGCCAAATTACCTGAGTGCGTACGTCACTGACCATTAATTTGCACACTCTTTTGAGCCTACTATAGGCCACAAGGCATCAGCTGACGATATGATGTCACTGGGTTTCGACTAGACATCATGCGCAACAGGCCATGCTCCATCTAAGCCATGTTTCGTCTGTACCTTTCGCACCTATCTACTGCAAGTATTCGCGCGACACAGGGGCTCTGCCGAATTACCTGAGCGTGTGGTGTAACTAGTTATGAGTTAACGCGGGTTTACTCTGGCTGACTGAAGGACATCAAGCATCAGCTGACGATATGACGTCACTGGTATTCGACTAAACTTCAGGCGCGACAGGCCATGTTCCATCTTTACCTTTCGTACCTGTCTCTTGGAAGTATGGGCGTGCTGAATGAAGGCTCTGTCGAGTCTCCCAAGTAAGTAACGTCACTGGTCAAGAGCTTTTTACGGGACCTTTTGTACCCCCAAACGGTATAATGCATCAGCTGATGATATGACGTCACTGGTGTCCGACTTAACATCAGGCGCGACAGGCCATGTTCTATCTTTACCTTTCGTACCCGTCTATTACAAGTATTGACGTGCTGAATGAAGGCTCTGTCGAGTCTCCTGGGTGTGTAACGTTACTGGTCATGAGTTTTTTCTGGCTCCTTGGAACCCTCTATAGGGAAAAATGCATCAGTTGACGACATGATGTCAATGGTGTTTGACTTAACATGAGGCGTAACAGGTCATGTTCCATCTTTGCCTTTCGTACCTGTAAAGTATTGGTGCGTTAAATGATGGCTCTGCCGAGTCACCTGAGTGTGCGACGTCACTGGTCATGAATTTTTGCCAACTATTTTTGGCTGAGCGAAAGCCATAAGGCATCAGCTAACGAAATGACGTCACTGGTAATCCACTGAGTGTGTGACGTCACTGGTCATGAGCTTTTACGGGCCTTTTTTGGCCGAGTTCAGGTCATTAGGCATCAGATAACGTTATGGCGTCACTTGTATTCGAATTAACATCAGTTACAATAAGCCATGTTTCATCTTTACCTTTCGCACCTGCCTACTGCAAGTATTCGTGCGCTACAAAAAGGCTCTGTCGATTCGCCTGAGCGTGTGGTGTAACTGGCCATGAGTTTGTGCAGGTTTACTCGGGCTGACTGACGGACATCAAGCATCAGCTGACGATATGACGTCACTGGTAATCGACTAAACTCCAGACGAATCATCTGAGTGGGTGACGTCGCTGGTCATGAGTTCATACGGATTCACTTGGGCTGCCCAAGGCCACAAAGCAACACCTCCCGTGAAGCATCACAGGATGATATGTCGTCACTGTTATTCGACTTAACATCAGGTCCAACATGCCACGTACTTTCTTTACCTTTTGCACTTGTTTATTAAAGGTATTGACGTGCTGAATGAAGGCTCCGTCGAATCTCCTGAGTGTGTGACGTCACTGGTCACGAGTTTTTTACGGGCTCCTTTGAGCCCATTTTAGGTTATAATGCATCAGCTGACGACATGACGTTACTGGTGCTCGACTAAACATCAGGCGCAACAGGTCATGCTCCATATTTGCCTTTCGTACCTGGCTGCTGCAAATATTCGCGTGCTATATGAAGGCTCCGCCGAATCACCTGAGTATGCGACGTCACTGATCATCAGTTGGTAGGAGGTCACTTGGCCACCTAAGGCTACGGAGTTCCGCAGCAGAGGTGGGAGATGCACCATAGTTAAGCACACTAATTTTATTGTGCGCACCATTAAGTAACAACTTCAAACGCAACGGGCTGTTTCAACGACTAAAATTTTGAACAAACGTAAACACAAAACAAAGGTGATCCCAGCCCACAAACCGACGTATATGCAAAGCTATTCCACCCGACATCACAGGATGCGCCCCTGAGCAGCTACGGTCCGGAATGCCCTGATGGCTAAATAATAATCAAGGGCGCCGCCTAGCGGCCATAAGTCTGGGCCACAGCCCGAATATCAGTGACCTCATATGGTCAGGTGATGCTTGATGTCCTTCAGTCAGCCCGAGTAAGCCCGCGTAAACTCATGACCAGTTACACCACATGCTCAGGTGATTCGGCAGAGCCTTTATGTAGCGCGCGAATACTTGCAGTATA